CTGAAATTATGTGACTGCCTTAATGACTAAATTTGTAAGTCTGAATTGAATACAGAACACTAATGCAACTAGGTTATTTATAAACAAAATAGTGATTGTTTCAGACACCATCTAGCTAGAAGATATCATTGATTTATATCTAATAACATACATGAAATTCAAATTCAAACTAGAAGAAAAATTCAAATCCAAACTAGTGTAAATTTTGAATTTCAACGGGTAGAAATTAAAATCCAGGTTAAGAATTGTAGACCCAATTCATTAACTGAATTTTCTCCCCAAAAAAAAGATTGAGTCTAAATCACACTCAAGCCCGAACTCGAGCGACAGCAGCGTGTGTAGGTTGCTCACTCCACTCACGAAATTGTGGTGCCTCTTGGGGCCTAACCTATAGAGAAAACTTGAGATTTATATACTCATGTAAATTTTCTTATCCAACAAATGTAGGATTAATGTCAAATTCCATATTGCCTAACATTTATTTTTACATTCCAAGAGAGTTATTTTGGAGCATATTTTTTCATCGATATCTTATTCAATTTGAACAAATGAATATATTACGTTATTCTCCTTACGGAGTAGAATATAAACTCATGAAAGTTTACTCAAAACGATTAGTGCTTCTCCTTTTAATTTAGGCTTAAAATGGACCAAAAATTAGATTTTATAACTAAAATTCTACTTTAATCCGACAAAGATTTATCAATTCTAATTTTGAAAAATATATTTTTGCGAAGCAACTCATATAATGATATTGCAATTAACGTATGCATTTGAACAATAATATAATATTCATCTATCCATATAATAAAACAACTCATACTTTGAATTTTATTTCAGTCATATTTTTCTTCTCAAAACTATTATCAATCACTTACCTCATTCATCATCTCTCTGTCATATTCAAACGTCAAGTCGCATCACTCATTCATTCAAACGTTAAGTCATATCACTCATTTTTATCACATATTTAATTATTTATATATTTTTGCCCTAAAAATATCATATTACTTATTTTTATCATATGTTTAATTATTTAATATTTGGTTAATTTGTAGTTAATTTAATTTTTATTTCAAATAATATTCATATACAATAGTATACATATGTTAAAAAAATTTAATATAGTGGGATCGATTTTTTAAGCGCTCGAATTTTATATTTTTTCGTGCATTCAGACATGAGTTATAATTAGTAATTCAATATACGTTCAAGAAGTCTATACAATTCAGTATCCCAATAAGAAAAAATATCATTTCGGTGCCAAAAAAAATGCAAGGACGCGTGCACATAATCAGAAAGAAGGGGAGAGCGAGAGGGGGGGAGGCGGGTGGGTTGATGGTGATGATGCACAAAAATGGTTTTGTACACCACCTGTCAAGTATAGATAATAAATGCAATGAAATCAACGAGAAAATTAAAGAAGACACAATTTATAGTGGTTCGGTCAATTCGACCTACGTCCACTCTTCAATGGCTTCAGTCGCCGGGTATTTTATTGATTCAAAGGTATGGAGAACAAAGATACAAGCTTTGAGAGGGGGAATGGAGAATCAAAGAAAAACAATAATCTCTGGTAGTCGGTTCGTCTTCTGAAAGTCTCTGATGGAGCATGTCTCCTTCCTCTCCCAGATTAGAGCCATTTTATAGTAGATAAGAGATCATTCTTGTGGAGATCATGACATATCCTCAAGGCTTCTTTATCGCAGCTTAGAGATTATCTTCGGTGGAGATCACGACTTATCCTCAACGGAAGGAAGAGTTTGGGGAACTCTTCAAGGAAACGTGGTCAAAGATTGGACCGTTGATAAGCTTCCCGTGCTCTCCTTTTGGTGACGTGCTAAGCAAGAAGTCTAACCGTGCTCTCCTCTTGGTGACGTGCTAAGCAAGAAGTCCAACCGTGCTCTCCTCTTGGTGACGTGCTAAGCAAGAAGTCCAACCGGCCTTGGGCTCCCTAAGGCGGTGTAGATAAACTTCCCGTGCTCTCCTCTTGGTGACGTGCTAAGCAAGAAGTCTAGCCGGCCTTGGTCTGTCTTGGACTTGGTGGGTTCAGGATGAGGTTGAGCTCCTCAACCGGGGTTGGGCTTTTAATACATAATTGGACTACTTGGGCTTAACCCATCAGATGGTGTTTTTCAATTTGGTGTGATTTACTTGACAAACAAATTATTTTCTCAAAAAAGGAAAAATGTAAACAACACCTATCATTTTTCAATCAAATGTTGTTAACTTTTTGGTCCTAACCTAACCTTATATTTTTAAAGTTGAGGCTCCATACGTAAATTCATATTTTTAAGAGCGAATTCTTCTTGAATTCGCATTCTTATTTTATAAAATTTGAGAATTTAAAATTTTAATTCATGAATTTGTATTCTTATTTATTTATATGCTTACTTTTTATTACTTAAATTTTTATTTAAAAGTACTAACTTATGCATAAAGATACATATCAAATTAGAATGATATTTATAATCTATAATTGTTATTTCATGACTTTATAATCAATATATACTTAAGAATTAAATATTTTTATTTTTATTAACTTTTGTGGGTTAATGTTTGTCTGTATGCAAGGTGTTTTCGCTCTCAAATATTTTTGATTGAATTTTGTAGCTTTTGAGCTCCCGCTTTCCTGCCCTTACTCCCATTTTATATGATCTAGGTTTTAGTTATATTTGTAATAAGTTATGTGTAATAATAAAATAACGAGAAATTATAATAAGAATGAGCAATGTCACATCGATTNTAATAAGTTATGTGTAGTAATAAAATAACGAGAAATTATAATAAGAATGAGCAATGTCACGTCGACTTAATTGGAATTTAAGTTGATACGGATTAGTTGTGATTTAATATTAAAGAAGGATAATTTTTTTCATCCAAACTATTATAATAAATTACTAGTAACAATTTAGTGTTTGAAGACATTCGGTAATATAAAAAAATTAAACATTGATCATACAAAATTTATATTGTAAATTATTATTTTATTTTATTATGTAATTTAAAATTAAAATGAACAAAGAAAAAATAAAATAAAGATAGTTGTAGATTAATGAGTTTGTTTGTTATTGGGGAGTGTGTTGATTGAGTTGTTTGATATTGCAGTCGTTTGATAATGAATTTTATACCATTAGATTAAAATAAATAAAAATTAGATTAATCTTGACCATTGTTGCATTTTTATAAATTAAAATTTCAACTTCTTAATTATAAAATTAAATAAATATATTTTATATTAAATTTAAGATACATTTCTAAATAAAAATTAATAGGTGTTACATTCTTATCGAAATAATAAAGGAGAAGGTATAGAATAATTTTCGGTACCAATACGTGACACTATCTGATGTAACGGAGTAACAGAGGAAGTGAGAGAGTGACAAGTGGACGATTTGTGTTGCATGCAAGAAGGTTCCAATGAATCTATCAAGACGGCAGAGAGACAGAGAGAGTTAATAAAACAATGCAATCTGCCTCTGCTTTTCTCCGGTTGGTACTGCCTAGATGGTCTCGTTTTAACTTAGACAGAGGAAAGAATTAATCAAACTGCCTGCAAATTTACATCATGCTAACCATTTGTTTTATATTAATGTTATTAAACTTAAAAATTTAATCTAATTTGTTGATTTAGTAACCGTTAAATTAACATTAAATTTTAACATTTGATGAGAAACTCTACGATACTAAAAGAAAAACTTTGATACCGATACCTTCGATTTCTACTTTATATGATAAAATTACGACTTTAAAATGAGAACATAACTGTTCAGAGAAGGTTATGATTAATCACTAACACTCATAATCAATAATAAAAAATGCAGTATCGATCACAAAATTCTATTGTCGATCACAACGTTCTATTATTGATCAATCCTTTGAAATTATAATTTGCACCTTAAAAAATTTATAACTTACCCCTAAAACATTATAACTTTCGGCACATGTCCCGTCAACGATGCCGCAGAAATTTCCAAGAAATTAAATCATAAAATTACATCAATAAACAAGGTCCAACGTTGTTGTTTGTCTTATGCCAGCAGGTAGGGTAAGTTAGTTTACAGTGTCATGCTTATGTCAGCAAAAGATAGAGATTTGGTCCATTTGGAGGGTTTCGGAGCTTTCAATCCGTTCTAAAAACTCGTACAATTCGCTGGTCAATGCCCTATAATTGTCTCCATAATTTGCATCTCGATCAAACTTTTTTATTAAAAAAATGAATAATTTAGATCAATTTTTAACACGATATCTCTATAGTATCTTAACCTAACCTTATAATTTACTAGTGAACAGCATCACAATATATTAATGAATGATGTTCGTATAAAGTTGAAGCTTGAGGATGCAGGCGGTGGAGAATCGCAACAAATCTTGATTCTTTTCAATACACCTTTTCTCAATTTTCTTCAAAAACAGATTAAATGATGGTTCTATGTTCCATATTGATCATCAAATTTCTATCTAACATATTCACAATCATCCATATGATGCATTTATATATGACTTGATATCGTACGCCCTCCTACTCCAACATTGGATACAAATATATCAAAAAAGGTGATCACGGTCTGTAGGAACCAGACTTTCTATTGTTTTTAACCCTATTTGCATAGGCTTGTGTACAAATTTACGTTCAATAATCCCAGGGACTTTCACTATTTTAATTTTTCAAAAGCTAATTATATTGAAAGATTAAAAGTGAATATAAAGATAACATTCTATTTTTCAAAGTTTTGTAATACAAAGTTAACAAAGATACATGATCATAGAAGAGCAAGCACCCTCTATGCAAAATTGGTGCATTTATGACTGAAAAAATGGGAAAATGAACAAAGAAGTTTTTCTAGATGTAAATTGAAGAATAAAATCCCCTCTAAATCCGCCCACCCATAATATTGAAATATACATTTTTTTTTTTGTTAATTAAGGCTATCGATTTAGGGGAAAATGTGAAAAACAAATTTTCTTGTTGTTCTTGNTTTTTTTTTTGTTAATTAAGGCTATCGATTTAGGGGAAAATGTGAAAAACAAATTTTCTTGTTGTTCTTGATTGTCCTCCATTGATCACCGATGTCTCGGGAAATTTTAATGGCATCTGATGCAGTCCCAAGAAGGCCTCTTCTAGTGAAGCCTACAGTATACAAGCCATTCTCTCCCTTCCAACCATTAGGAAACGGTGTTTTGGGCATGCCCTCCCCTGTAAAGAAGTCACTGGCCTGCATTTTCAAAAAGAAAATATAAATCAAAGACTGTTAAAATATTAAAAACTCGTTCAAACATTCATCAACATAATTGAATCTTAGCATAAGACAATGGCAGTTATGGTCTACAAAATTATTAGAGATAGAATTAGAATATGGTACTAACAGATTACTTTTCGATACTATACTTTATTTTTTAGTCCAATCAAAAAGTAACATGTTTAATATTTTTATTATTTTATTTAGAATTTATAAAGTGGAAACGATTAACCGTCACCGTTAAAAAAAATAGCAAAACTAATGAGTCATGCTCATGTATACCTTGAGCCATGAAGGCACATTGCTCTTATACCCAGTTGCCAAGATTATAGAATCAAACTCTCTTTCTTGTCCATCCATGAACTTGGCCCCATTTCTTGTTATCTCTTTCACACCTTCCATCACCTGCCATATCAACAGAATTAAACAAAACTTGCACTTTAGCAGAAAAGAAAAATGAGAAAAACCTAAGGGCATGTTTGGATACCTTAACTTTTCCAGATTTTATCAGTGAGAGTACTCCTACATCCAACACTGGGGTCTTCCCGGTGGCATTTTTCAGCTCAATTGGGCCGGTCTTCGGCCTCCAGAGACCTAACCTGTCTGTGTTTCCGAGAGTGAAATTGGCCACCAATAAGAGGAACTTGTCCAGTAACCTTAGAGGTATCCATTTGAGCAGTGCCATAGCTATTCCAAATGTTGATAATCCAAACATCTCCCTAGGTAAAATATGAATCTGAATCATAAAAAATGTATAGAAATTAGCAAAATAAACATTCAGATGCAAGCAGTTATAAAATACGTTCAATTTATCTACTGGAAGAAGGAGATGATTATACTGAAAACCCCTATGAATATTTTTTTTTCAACATAAGAAAATTTATTAGATGACAATTTTCAAAATGTATAGGAAAAAATAGGCCATTTTCACTGCAAAAAGTTTTTTTCTAAAGTACCCAGATGAAAAATGTAACAGAACCTTGCATTTAACCTATATGAGAGAGAGAGAGAGAGAGAGAGAGAGAGAGGAACTTACAGTGCTTCTAACCACTATATTTGGGCTGGCATTGTATCTACAAAGGTCTAAGCTAACTTCCATTCCAGAATTTCCACACCCCACCACCAAAACCCTCTGTTGTTTAAACTCAGCACCAGACTTATACACACTTGTATGCACCACAGGCCCTTCAAAACTCTCAATTCCTGAAATTTCTGGTATATTAGGATCTGCATTTTCTCCAGTGGCAACCACAAGCCACTTAGAAACATACTCAAAGTCCTGAGTTTGAACTCTCCAAACCCCTCTACCATGATCAAACTCAGCTCTTTTTACTTCTTTCTTGAACTTAGGTTCAATTGAGAAGTGTCTGGCATATGATTCCATGTATGAAATGAACTGGCGCTTGGTTGGGTACTTTGGAAAATTTTCTGGGAAACCAAACAGTGGGAGTTCACAGAACTGTTTGGGAAGGTGGAGTTTGAGACAATCATAGGTTCTTTGTTGCCATAAAGAAGATATGCAGTCACTTCTCTCAAGAATCACAGAAGGTACACCATTTTCTTTAAGGCAAGCTGAGACTGCTAGACCAGATGGTCCTGCACCTACTATGATAGGTCCATTAACCCATAAGCAATCTTGTTGATTCTCATGATCATCTTTACAAGAACCCATTATGAAGAGAATCCAGGAAAAGCAAAGAAAAGGAAAAAGAAAAGAAAAGGGAAGAAAAGCTCTCAGTATTTCTCTATGGACTTCCTCTGTTTTTTCTGACTCTGTAAAGCTCTGTTTATTTCCTCTGTTTTCCTGAGAAAGTGTGTGACTTTGAAGTACGAAGTGGGAATTTAAATAACGACAATACCAATGCGCCTTTGTTTCAATGGTACTCTTTGTCTTGTAAAAGTTTTGTCATCTCGAAATCAAGTTTCAAGTCCCCTCCCTCTCCCCTTCCCCCTCCCAAAAAAAATAAAAAAATAAATAATGAACAACAATGCTGGACTTAATTTGGATATTTAATTAAGAACTTAATTTATTATAATTATTAAATTAATTGTGAGTTTCGAGCTTGATAAAATCAAATTTCAATCCAATAGCTACAATTAATTAGTGTCTCAAGTTTGGTCTTCGGATTAAATCCTAATAGCATTTTCCTTTAAAGAAGAGACTATAGTGAAGAAAAAAAATTATTTAAATAAAATTTGGGGATCTAATCAATTATAATTATTGATACAAATAAACCCCATCACACAATGTAATTTGGAATTCACAATTAATTTAATAATTCTTTTAGATTATGTCCGTAATTAGTTCCTCAAATTAGATGGAGAAAATGCTGAGGTTAGAATCACTGTAGCCTGGCGAATCAGCTTGTGTTCTGNTAATTATTGATACAAATAAACCCCATCACACAATGTAATTTGGAATTCACAATTAATTTAATAATTCTATTAGATTATGTCCGTAATTAGTTCCTCAAATTAGATGGAGAAAATGCTGAGGTTAGAATCACTGTAGCCTGGCGAATCAGCTTGTGTTCTGAGGCATTTTCAATGCATAGATTGGAGAGAGAGAGAGAGAGGTGTAATGGAGGAGTGAAGGTCAAGGAAAGGTATCGTACGTATCTATGGTTATGGTGTAGCATTGTATTTCTACTTGCCTGAATTACCAATGGATTTTCTTTATATATATACTAAGAATGAAATGGATTATGAATTTCATATTCTGTTGTATTAAGTGTAACTGACTCAATTAATGTGCATATATTCAAATGTTATGGTTGTAGTGAGGAATGAAGATCTCTAAAATTATTGAGGATGAATCAGGTTGATCAACACATTAATGGAGTACAAAAATCAAGGGAAGTTACCTCCCTTGGGAAGGTATGACAAAAAAATGGTCGATGGTATGTTAAACTTATTGTGTCGATGGATGTCACGCTCTAGTCTGTCGTTTAGTGAGCTTTTAAGGATAATTTTTTTTTTTGANCGGTATGTTAAATTTATTGCGTCGATGGATGTCACGCTCTAGTCTGTCGTTTAGTGAGCTTTTGAGGATAATTTTTTTTTTTTGAGAGAGATAATATTTTACTATTTCTGAGATGACTCTGGAACGTTTGTACGAGACCCCCTAAAGAAATGTATTGTGGGAGGATCCGTGGATGGTGAAAAGGAATTCTTGGNAATACCAATGCGCCTTTGTTTCAATGGTACTCTTTGTCTTGTAAAAGTTTTGTCATCTCGAAATCAAGTTTCAAGTCCCCTCCCTCTCCCCTTCCCCCTCCCAAAAAAAATAAAAAAATAAATAATGAACAACAATGCTGGACTTAATTTGGATATTTAATTAAGAACTTAATTTATTATAATTATTAAATTAATTGTGAGTTTCGAGCTTGATAAAATCAAATTTCAATCCAATAGCTACAATTAATTAGTGTCTCAAGTTTGGTCTTCGGATTAAATCCTAATAGCATTTTCCTTTAAAGAAGAGACTATAGTGAAGAAAAAAAATTATTTAAATAAAATTTGGGGATCTAATCAATTACAATTATTGATACAAATAAACCCCATCACACAATGTAATTTGGAATTCACAATTAATTTAATAATTCTTTTAGATTATGTCCGTAATTAGTTCCTCAAATTAGATGGAGAAAATGCTGAGGTTAGAATCACTGTAGCCTGGCGAATCAGCTTGTGTTCTGAGGCATTTTCAATGCATAGATTGGAGAGAGAGAGAGAGAGAGAGAGAGAGAGAGAGAGAGGTGTAATGGAGGAGTGAAGGTCAAGGAAAGGTATCGTACGTATCTATGGTTATGGTGTAGCATTGTATTTCTACTTGCCTGAATTACCAATGGATTTTCTTTATATATATACTAAGAATGAAATGGATTATGAATTTCATATTCTGTTGTATTAAGTGTAACTGACTCAATTAATGTGCATATATTCAAATGTTATGATTGTAGTGAGGAATGAAGATCTCTAAAATTATTGAGGATGAATCAGGTTGATCAACACATTAATGGAGTACAAAAATCAAGGGAAGTTACCTCCCTTGGGAAGGTATGACAAAAAAATGGTCGATGGTATGTTAAACTTATTGTGTCGATGGATGTCACGCTCTAGTCTGTCGTTTAGTGAGCTTTTAAGGATAATTTTTTTTTTTGAGAGAGATAATATTTTACTATTTCTGAGATGACTCTGGAATGTTTGTATGAGACCCCCTAAAGAAATGTATTGTGGGAGGATCCGTGGATGGTGAAAAGGAATTCTTGGAAGTAAGTGATTTCCATTACATTAAGTTTCTTGGGTACATTTTTCTGGACGCATGTCTTTTATACACATAATTTGTATATTGATTGTAGCTTCAACAATGCATGAAAATGATTTTGCTAGAAATTACTGTTTTTGACCCATGCCCAAATTTTGAATTATTTTCAAAAGAGATACGATAAGTTCAGGGCATCAGCAAGGGGATATTGTTGGATCCTCACCATCGGTCAATTCTGGAAGATGAGTGGATGTTATGGTCATTGATGATTGATTTCGTTCTTAATCATATTAAACAGGGTTGTCACTTAATATGGAGATTTGTATGTATTAGTATATGTATTAAACTTGCTAATTGCCATGAGCCATTTTGGTAAATAGCTAACTAAGCTTGTGGTGGTGTAGGAACTACCAACATCATGTGTGGAGTAGCTTCAACTAAATTAGCAATGATGTTGCCTTCATTTTATATGTGTAGTACGAGACAATAGTGATTTGACTATATGTTTGGGTACGGAACGGTAGCCCGGTTGCCTTTATTGTGTATTTTTATATAAGACAACGCTAGATTAAAGTTAATGTTTGTGATATCTCAGTTATTGCCTTTTCCTGTATTGTATTCATTTGTCAATATCTTTTGTTAACTAAATTTATTATAATATTTTGGCAAGATCAAATAAATTTGTGGTCGACTTATTTGAATTTTTTTGAGTGGAACGCAAAAAACCTAATTTTTTTTACATTAATTGACAATCTAAATTTTTTCAGTTCAACATTAAAGTGGTAACCTAGTCTTGCCAAATCAAATATGAGAGAGGTTTTAACAAGATTCAATATAAGGGTAAGATGGTAAATTTATGCCAAAATTATGAGATTTAACCAAAAAAGAGTTGGTTAATACATGGAGTCCACATAATGAAGGATTGGATAAAAGCAAATATGCTAATCCAACATTTTAGCCGGCTCCCAAGGGATTTCATTGGATAGGGCTAGGATCTAAATTCAAACCAGTCCAATCCTTTGGGTGACTACCCAACAAGCCATACATCTTTTGTGATGCGGCTAAAGTAATAGATAGACCTTTTCAAGCCATACGTCCTCAATTACACTGTGCATCATGTCATGGAAAATCGCGACCATGGCATGTTGATAGGTCACACCTAAATTTTTCAGCTCAAAAAACATCACCGTATAACAGAAGTCTTCGAAAGGGATTCAAAAAGTAGTTTTTTCTACGTCTTCCTCAACCATCTTGATTTGGTTGTACCCAACGAATCTATCCATAAAGGACATCCTCTCATGTCTTGACATAGCGTCAATAAGGATATCAACATTAGGTAGTGGAAATTTATCCTTGGGGCATGACTTGTTCAAACAATAATACATGCACTAATGTTAGATTTGTGAGGAAATTTCTCTTAATGGTAATAAAAGTATGGATAGATCTAAATTAACATTGAACAAAATAATAAGAAAAAATATAAAAATATTTAATTTAAATGAACGCATAGTACATGATCGAAATGAATAGCGAAGACGAACTTATATAACCGATCCCAAATAATTGAGACGTAAGGCTTGGTTTTGGTTTTGTGTGGTTTGGTTATATGTTAATGCTTAAATAAGGATTAAAAATATTTTGGTACTGAATGTTGAATTCAGGTTGAACATGATTTTTAGTAATTCGGTCTGAGCTCGAGTTGAGCCCATGTTTCCAAAGCCTTAACTCGAGCTCAACTCAACTTCAATTCGGGTTGAGAAATTTTAGCCTAAGCTTAACTCAAAATTTTAAAAAACTCAACTCAAACATTTTTTTTTTTGGAATAATTTNATCTTTAATAGATTTAGAGCCTATACTCAAGGACAACATCCGATTTCGATAGCTTTTGCAATTTTTTTGACTTTTTTGGGTGGTAGTTGGTGTTTTAGGTAGCTTGGTTATCTAATTTTTTTTCCTAANGGCCAGCCACCTAGTTTATTCGTGTGACTTTGTTGATGGTGTGGTGCCTTTACACATGATTGATATTAAGAGGGGGAGATATATTATAGAAGTGTATTATTGATATTGATATTTTAGAGATAAGATAATTTACATGGGTATGGATGAAGTTTAACACTAGGAAAAATAAAAAAGTAATTGTATGGTTTACTTGAGTAGTTGAGTGGCCTTTTTTGGGCTTTTTGGAACCATGCCCTTGCAACACTTCACATGGGCCAGAATTAGTTCACCATATTTCCACCCATACCCGGCCTACATAGTACCACCTTGAGAGGAGATGTAAGGGTATTTAATAATGTCACTTAAGGTCTAAAAATGGAATACTTTAAATACTTAATGAATTAAACTCGTTTGATAACTTAAAACTCATGTCATTTAATATTTTAAGCACTTCTTAAAAGTAGACC